CACTAACTCCTTGACGCAATGACCTATCAGGGCATAATGTAGGGCCATCAGTATCATCCCAATAATCTTGGTGGTGCAGAGGATAAAGATCAGGTGTCCAAGTGGATTCAAGTGCTTGGATGCTATATACTGGATCGATTAAATTCCAGGCATATCTGTTAAGGCCATACTATAAGCTCGAAATGCAAGAGACATATCACCATAAGAAACATAAGCAGAGATCAGATATAAAATCCTGGTGGTCCAACCATAACAAACAATTGGATAANTAAGCAGAGATCAGATATAAAATCCTGGTGGTCCAACCATAACGAACAACTGGATGATGATAACGCCGTGGATAACAACGCCCTAAATCATTATCCTCCACTAATAATATCTCATCAGGTAAAACAACTGACTCAGTACCTGCAATCTCATCAGTACTAACAACAGGTGCATCAATATGCTCAACGAACTGAGAAATATTACCTGCATCGCCTGAGGTAGAGGGGACATCAGCAAGGGGATAAGAACGAGGGCGACGAACATAAACCTGCAAAAGAAGAGAGACTAGTGACTCTATATTGACAAGGATGAATGGCTCTAGAGGAGGAGAGATCGATGACTCTATAATGATAGTGACCAGTGGCTCTGGCTCCGGTGGTAATGAAAAATCAAATAGAGTATCATCAACTAGAGGGACAGACGCTAGACTAGAAGAAAAATAACAAATATGCTCAAGAAATGTAACATCTAGACTGTGATACATACGGCGCCTAATAGGATTATAACACCGATACCCCTTAGACTGATAATAATAATAACCCACAAAGACACAATGAATCGCTTTATCATCAAGCTTATGACGAGTAGGAGATCGATCCTGAACAAAACATATGCATCCAAAAACACAAGGGGGGATCGAAAAAAATGTCCGCTCAAAAAATAAGACCTGTAAGGGAGCCCTATGCTAAAGAACACGACTCGGCGTACGATTGCACAAAAAGGTAGAAGTTCAAACAGCAAAATACCAATAAGATTTTGGTACCCTCATGCCTCTAAGCATACAACGTACCATCTCTATCAGAATCCTATTTTTCCTTTCAGCAACACCATTTTGCTTAGGAGTATATGGACAAGTCAGTTGCTGAAGAATACCCTGAGAAGAAAGATGAGACACTAAGGCATCAGACGCATATTTTTTTGCATTATCCAAACGAAGAGCACGAACAATGACATCGAATTGGGTCTTAATCATCTATAGAAACTGAGTGATTATAGGGAGTACATCAGACTTCCTATGCAAAAGGTAGATCCAAGTACAATGGGCATGGTCATCTATAAATGTTACATAATATCAAGTACTTGACAGAGCAGTAACAAGAGAAGGTCCTCAAATATCAGAGTTTATTAAGTCAAATAACTTGGGTGACTAGTGCATGCGAGGAATATAATTGGTCCTAACATGTTTCGATAAGGAACATATAACACAGTCAAGTTTAGCACCAACACAAGCATTGCTCAAAGCAGGAAACAACATACATAAATATTTAAAATTTGTATGTCCAAAACGGTCATGTCACAACTAAACAGTTTGTGACGAAAAATCACAACGACAACTACTAGGTAAAATACTAGAATGCAAGCTAGGAATAGATAAANTTTAGCACCAACACAAGCATTGCTCAAAGCAGGAAACAACATACATAAATATTTAAAATTTGTATGTCCAAAACGGTCATGTCACAACTAAACAGTTTGTGACGAAAAATCACAACGACAACTACTAGGTAAAATACTAGAATGCATGCTAGGAATAGATAGAGATAAAGTAGGTGTAGGTGATGTAGGTGGAGGAACTAGTAAAACTGGAGGTGGATCGCCTACATAATACAGATCATCTCTCTCATGTCCCCTGATGATAATCATCCTAGTACTCAGGTCCTGCAAATAACACGAATCAGATAAGAACACAACCGCACAGTAAAAATCTCTGTCTAACTAATATACAGTTAATAGATTCATAGCCAACTTTTGCGCATGAAAAATCGAACGTAATGTAAAGCCATTTGGGAGGCGAACTGTACCCCTACTAAAAATAGAGGCATGTGTCTCATCTGCTAACTGAACCTGTGTATGTAACTGCTTGTTAAAAGTGGTGAAGTGATGGGTCCCACCTGTCATGTGACCATTCACACTCGAGTTCAGCATCCAAAGGGGAGACGGACTGGCACAAGCATGAAAAGCACGAGGTATGCCTGTAGTGATAACAGCAGCAATAGTCGGACTCTGAGAAGTCAGAGCGGACATAAGTATATCCAATCGAGAAGTGATAGCATTCATATCACTCTGCCAAGGAGGAGCTGTAGTAGGAGTAGCGGTAGTAGGTGGTGGTACCTCAGGAATAGCAGCAGTACGGCTGTGAGAAGGCGGCTTAAGCTCTGGATGAAGCTTCGAACAAGCAACCCTTAGATGTCCTGGTTTGCCACAATAATCACACTGACGAGAATTCCCCTGTCTGCGCTGATCTAGGACACCCTGACGGCGTTGGTCCGAACGCTGCCCACCTCTGACTGAGGATCTTGAACGAGACCCTGCAGCTGCTGCAAGAGTCACATGATCAGTCNTCCCCTGTCTACGCTGATCTAGGACACCCTGACGGCGTTGGTCCGAACGCTGCCCACCCCTGACTGAGGATCTTGAACGAGACCCTGCAGCTACTGCAAGAGTCACATGATCAGCCGGAGGAGTCAAGGCCGCAACTAGAAGTGATGCAATACGGATACGGAGCTCATGCTGCTCAATCATCGCATACACCTCATAAAGAGAAGGAAGCGTCAACATCGACAAGATTTGGGAACGAGGTCCTTCAAACTCATCACGAAGCCCCATAAGGAACTTGTGAATCCTATCCTCCTACTCTCAAGTATGCAAGAATGATGCTCCCTCGAGCTCTATTCTCAAAATAGTAGCAAGAGGACGTAGAGTCTCATACTCAAGCCAACGCTGGGTCAAATAGCCATAATAATCCTGAATGGTCGGATCTCCCTACCGAGCATATAAAAGCTCCTGAGAAAGCTCATAAACACGAACTCCCCATCCTGACTGGGAATACATCTCTGATAATATGCTCCATAGTTTTGGAACAGAGTTATGAAACTGGTAAATCCCGCAAACAGATAGCTCCATTGAGCTAAATAACCATCCAAGAATGGTGCAGTTCTCAAAGAACCACGCAAAAGATCCAGGATCGGTATCAGCTAGCTTTGGGTGAGATCCCGTCAGCCAACCAAGCTTCCTTACACGGCCTAAAAAAAGCTGGAATGAGCGAGACCACTCAGCGAAGTTACGGTCATTCAACAACTGTGCCATAACTTTTTGGGAGATCATGCCCGGTAGTGCTAGTAATTCAACTGTGCCAGTAGGTGCTATATACTGGTCAAACATAAAAGTGGAAGTATCAATACATGTCTCAACGGTAGAGGTGTCAACAGTTGAAGTCTCAAGTCCCTCAGTAGTAGTCATATTAACAACAATACTAGAGCATCCATGACAGAAAAATAACTCTAAAATAAATAGAGGGATAAGATAAGGGAGAATAATATACTTCCAGTCGAACAGTAACGACAAATAAAGAAAGTTCAAAAAACTCTCAAATAATCATGTCACGGTGCCCAAAAATCTAATAAATAAAAATAATTAATCTATTGCATCAATAACAGATCAACGAAGATGATGATTCAACCCCATTTAAAAAGGGCTCAAATGTTGCGGCACTATGACAAAGAGCGCGAAACACGAAAGGAAAAAATGACTGAGCAGTGGAGTGGGGTGGGTTTGGACAGTGGGGTTTGAGCTGTGGGCTGGACAAGGGACTGGGCTTGTGGGCTTTGTTTGGGTTTATGATTGACTGTCGGTGGTTTGGACTAGGTGTTTGTCGCTGGGCTTGTGGGCAGTGGGGCTGAGCTATGGGCTTGGTTTGCTAGCTGGGTTTTGGGTGCTGTCGGCTGGTGCTTGTTGCTTGTTGTTGTCTTGGTTTTAGATTGCAGGTGTTATTGTTGCTTTCGGTGGGTTCACGGCAGTCGGTGTAGGCAGAACAGTAGGGTGAGATTCTAGTTGCTAGTGCTGTGATGTCTCGCTGGTTGCAATGTTTGGTGGGGGTTAGAGTTAAGGTTAGGGTTGGTGGTTCTGATACCAACTAAAAATATTTGTGTGTGAATGGGATACAAACTAAGTGTAGAGTTACTGTATATATAGCCAATAAAAGTTACAATAAGGATAAAAAGATAAAAAGATAAAATTTAATAAACCCTAGTAAACTAGGTTGTTATATCTCCGATAGGCAACAAGAGAAGCAATGCTCCTTAAGGCACATTTTATGTTCAATGCTACCTCTCCCATTCTAATAAACAAACTTACCAAGCCTCATTTCAGCAATTGGAATTGAATGCAATACTCAGTTTACTCATTGAAGGACCAAGTATACTCACGTTGACAGAAGAATCTTTGACCAATCATCATTGAACATTAATGGATGGTGGTCCCTCAATATTTACAAATCTGACAACTGGTTTACTAAGAGCATAAAAGTCCCTAGATTACTGGTTTATTAGAATTGTCCCTAGATTACTGGTTTACTGGTTTATTAGAATTGTCCCTAGATTACTGGTTTACTGGTTTATTAGAATTGTGCAGAAGGCTTCATTTGTTTGAGCAAATATTTGTATGTGAGAGAGAGGATTTTATGTTGTTCATTCAGTTTCTCACAGTTGATGCACTGCTGCAAACTCATAGAAGGTAATTCTTATGCTAATTTAAGAATTAAGAGGAAGAAGAATAATCCCAAAGTGAATCATTCAGTTTTTTTCCTACTGGATTGCTTCCATTGAGTCAATGTGTAGCAATCACTTTAAAATATGCTATTGTGTGTCACATTTTGTCAAAAGTGAAGCAACCAAACGAAATTCATTGAGTCTTATTTCTCTATCAGGATTACTTCCAGTGAAAGGAGCTTGAAAATGATTGACACAGATATATATTTTCCAAAGGATAACAAGTTGAAGCCTCTAGGGGAGGATGCTCACTTCATTTGTGCAGAGGAGCAGATCAATGGAGTGGCAGATGGTGTTGATGGGTGAGCAAGAAGGGTGTGGATGCTGGTGAATATGCAAGAGAAGTAAGAACTAAGGACCAATGCTGCGGATGCAGTTGAAGATCGACCCAAGGGTGATGTTGATCCAAAGACGGTTTTAAATGAAGCTTTCTTCAAAACCTAGGCCAGAGGATCATCAACAGCGTGCATTCTGACACTCAAAGACCACTGTTTGCACGCTGTGAAAATAGGAGATTCGTGCTAATCAGAAAGGGAAAAATCATATATCAGTCACCAGTGCACCAAGTCCAACACAGATTTAACAGTTCATATCAGGTAGGAAACACCACAGATAGCCCAAGTTCAGCTGAGGAGCTTGAAGTTTTAGTAGAAGCTGGGCACCCCATTGTCCCTAAAACTGATGGATTGTTCGATAATGTCCATGCTGCCAAAATCGAGCATATAGAAGACCTATGTTTGAGAGAAGGTGACATGCCAGAGCTATTAGCTTGGACCATGGCAAAAGTTGCTCGGCTAAAATCTCTGGACAAATGTACTAGTAGTTCCTTTGCAATGGCAGCTCATGATGCAGGAGTTGAACACAGAGGAGGCAAATATGATGACATTGCTATGGTCGTTGCGTACATTCTTTCTGCAGATTGGTTTTAGCATGTAACTTTCTCAAGTACATACATTTGGAAAAGCATAAACCAGAAAACTGAAGAAATACAATTCAATCTTAATATATACACGTTGTTTGTGTTCTATTCATCTATTGCTGTAAATGTTTTAAATTGCTGGTTTATTGCTGCCTTGAAATATCTTTCAATGATTTGCAAGTTCTTTGCATTCAAAAGACAGTTTGGGAGAAATTGACAACAATGAAGTTGGAGATGATGCATCATCTGATCCCAAAGAGGCAAGTGTCACAGCTTATAAAATGAGTAACTGGAGGAACGAAAAAAAAGCAACAAGCAAACGCATGAACACTGGAATAAGCTGGCGAAATGGATACTTCTTAGGAGAATCATCAAGGAAATGGAAAAAGTGTGGAAATTCAACCCAAAAAGTCCATGGAAAGCTTCAACTCAAGCAAAATCTGTTCAATACTGGATGATATCATCAACGAAGGCCAGCAGAATCACAACGACACTAAACACATTTTATTTATCTAGTTTTTCATTTGAGGGCAGAGCAAGCAGTCAGAATAAAAGTGAGCAAGTTGGTTTTGAAAGTAGTAGTAAAAACTAATGTTTCCTTTTCTTTTGTTTTTTTTCCTTTGGTTATGTTGGGGAGGAGTGTGTATAAACGATTCTAATTACAGCCTTTTTCCATGCGTTTGATCTTGTTTAGTGGTTAGTACTAGTCCAAGAAAGCAAGAAAGAAGAATTTCCATGACAACTTAATGTCAGATATGCCAGTTGTGTTCACCTCTTTTTGTTTTGAGGTGGAATTTTCACATATGATATCTAAACAACCATTTCACACTCTTCACTTCCAGGGAAACTCAATTGTGATAACTACTAGGGGACCTTATTTGTCAGTGATTGTTTAGTGCGCAGATATAGAGAATAAGAAGCAAGTCGGTACAACAGAAATTTGTTCTATTGATTGTCTGGAATCTGGATAGCTCATTGCATGTAATGTCTGAGAAGGTGCACATACTAAGTTAGACTCTTACAATCCTCAAAGCTTGTGCAATTTTCAGAATGTTGTATGATAATTCATGGGGGATGCTTTTTATTACTTTTGTTCTATACAATAGAATTTATAGCTTCTTCAAGGTAACGACTTTGTATGTTCTCATTTTCTTGTTAATTATGCTCATATTCTAAAAAGCTGATGAAATATTCAAGTTTACCTTCTTTTGACAAAGTATTGTCTAAATATTCCATATTTTGTTTTCTATGCTGGATGAGAAATAGCTTTAAAGGCCATATAAACAACTTAACAANATATTCAAGTTTACCTTCTTTTGACAAAGTATTGTCAAAATATTCCATATTTTGTTTTCTATGCTGGATGAGAAATAGCTTTAAAGACCATATAAACAACTTAACTATAACTTCTCATGTTTTATTTCATCTACAACTGAATTTTTGACATGGTTTACATTATGCACTGTTGTACTATGACAATTCCAACAAACTTTGTATCGCAGACTCGAAGTACAAGCTGAAATTGTATCGTGGACTAGAAATTGAAAGTCACACTATGGACTAGCATGAAGGGTCTCATAGAAGCTTAGCTACTCTGAATGAAGACCTGTGAAGTAGTTAGACCCCTGCATTGGAAATCAAAGATGGGCTAAGAGGGATAGCAAGATGGTTGTCTCAATGGAATGAAATTTGTACTCATGTATGTGGCGGGCTAGAATGTTAGGTACTCACGTCGGGTGAGAGTGAGTGCATGCATGTATATGTTTTATCCGTTGTCTGTCTCAACACCTTCAAAAATTGCTTTTCAATGGCTTTTGTGTTAACCTCTAATATAAGGAAAGAATGGGAAGAAAAAAAAGAAAACAAAAAACTCAAATCAACTACTTGAGATAAGTTTGAGACAACTGCTGATAACATAACCCCTTTGGGCAGCTTGGATAACCCCGACTCTCCTCTCATCATAGAACATTGATTGGGTGGAAGTATTATTGATTGTATACTCTTGTTCCCCCCTCCGATTACACTACTTGAAGCACCGTTTTTGTGCATACCTTCTTACTTTTATTTGTTCAAAAAAAATATTTTTGCTACCAAAACAAACTTTAAATTCTTTTTATTTGATAGTGAGCATAATTACAATTGGCCTTCGGATTCAACTTCAATAATGGAGTTTTATGCACAAAAATTAATTTTCAAAATATGTTTTAGTATTTTTGTTAAAATATTGAGTTTTATTATGCAACTTATTGTACTAAATACTAATAAAGTAAAAAATTTTGAAAAAAAATAAGAAAAATATTTATCTATTCTTTTTCTCCTCATAAATAATATTCCAAATAAATAATATAGCTCTCCTACCTAATTTTTCTCTTTTCCCCTCCTTAAAAAAGGGATCAATTACAAAAATTCTTCGATACCATAATTTCATTTTTCATCCAATAAAAACTCAACATATGTAAACAAATTTAAATTTATNAATAAATAATATAGCTCTCCTACCTAATTTTTCTCTTTTCCCCTCCTTAAAAAAGGGATCAATTACAAAAACTCTTCGATACCATAATTTCATTTTTCATCCAATAAAAACTCAACATATGTAAACAAATTTAAATTTATTTTTTTTTGTAAATCAATATTTGTAAATCATTCAAACCAAAATCAATAATTGTAATGAATTTTAGTACGATATCAAAATTTCACCCAAATAATTCCTTAATCATCAATAATTTGGACTCATATCCGCTCTAATTTTTTTTTTTCAATTATTTTCTTGANTATGTAAACAAATTTAAATTTATTTTTTTTTTGTAAATCAATATTTGTAAATCATTCAAACCAAAATCAATAATTGTAATTAATTTTAGTACGATATCAAAATTTCACCCAAATAATTCCCTAATCCTCAATAATTTGGACTCATATCCGCTCTAATTTTTTTTTTTCAATTATTTTCTTAACGGATCATTCATTATTTAAATTCATTATAAATGATCCACAAAAAAATAAAATTAAAAAAAAATTGTATTAGAGCAGATCTCAATACCAATAATTCTAGAAAAATACTACCTGAATTTAACATATGAATTTAACATATATACTTAATAATCACAATTATTAAATAAATAATAGGTCTCAATAATTCCATATTCTTCATAATTCTGTCCAAACAAAGCGTAACTAATAGTGATTCTTGGAGGTCTAGGTATACCTCTAACGGCTAGTAAAGCACAAATCCTAAAGCGAGCTGCCAGTAAAAAAATCTCTTTTAAGCCGCTCGATCATGTCTGATCGTACGGCCTCCATTTGAAACAAATAATATGACCGTTATAGGTATTAGGCGTCGCTTCGCACGTTAAAAAGGAGATGACCGTTGTCGTTTCTCGGAAGATACAAGCACACGCTCTGAAACAAAGAACCTAGAAGCCAAATAAGAAGAACAACTAGAAGGAAGAAGATTTGTTCAGAACGAGAAAGAAAGAAAGAGAGATTGAGCGAGCATTGTGGCGACCGAAAACCCAGAAGGAGAGACACTTAACAGTCGTCTCCAAGTGTTCTTCTCGTCACTTTTGGCGAGTCTTGGAGGGGTTTTTGGTCACAATCAAGAAGAAGTAGAGGAATCAGGAATGGCTACAAAAGCTGTTGTTCAACAGCAACCCAGAGGTATTTTACAGTCATCTGTCTCTGTTCTTTGAATTAGATCTACTCTGTGTGAGTCTGCGATACGGTTCTTTGGCGAGTCTTGGAGGAGGAGTTGTGCCTTTATACAGTGATGCATGCTACTTATTGATTATTCTTTATGGGTATTGCTGATTATTTGAAATACTGATACATTTATTGGTTGTAGGATTTGTGGGTCTTTCTGGGTTCTGCTGATTAATCATCACTAAGAAGGGTTCTTTTGGGTTATTGGGCATTGATTACTGTTTTCGGGTCGATATTTTTTTGTGGGTATCTGATGATAATCCTAATATGGATGTTCATGGAGGTAATTTTGAAGATAGATATTCTGTGGAGGGTTTTGTTGAAAGATTTCGGTAGTCAATCATTTAGGGCATATTGGCTCTCCCATTTCATTTAGGGCTTTTTGACTGAAGATTCAATAACATGGATTTTCCTTAACAATGATCTGTTGATTTTCTTTTTATGGGTTTTCTATGTTTTCTTTCATCCATGCAAAGATGGCATATTTGGGGGCTTTTTGTACGATGGCAGATTGATTTGAAAGAACTGAGTCTCCCTTTATTGATTTTCCTCAACTTTCCGTGGGTGGTTATTTTCTGGATTTTCGGTTCTTCCGTTAGAACTTCAAGTCTTCCTTATACTCAAGAATTTCACTTGGTTTTATGATGTATCAGGGGAAGGAGGAAAGCAGAAGAATGGGCAAGTGGAGGGAAGAAATCGACGTGTTCTAGGAGATATTGGAAACCTTGTGACTGTTCCAGCTGTTGAAGGAAAACCCCAGGCTAAANATACTCAAGAATTTCACTTGGTTTTATGATGTATCAGGGGAAGGAGGAAAGCAGAAGAATGGGCAAGTGGAGGGAAGAAATCGACGTGTTCTAGGAGATATTGGAAACCTTGTGACTGTTCCAGCTGTTGAAGGAAAAGCCCAGGCTAAAGTCTCCCGACCCATAACCAGGTTTACTCTCTTTCTTTCTCTGTCTCTCTCTCTCACCCACACACACATACACGGTGTGCGTATGAGTTTGGGTGTGTAATTTGATGTTTTTCTGTTGACTTTCAGGAGTTTTCGCGCACAATTACTTGCTAATGCACAAGCAGCAGCAGAGAAGAATCAGAATCAAAAGGTATTTTTATCCATTTTATGACATTATCCTTTGGGCAGACAAAAATTTATTCCTGTCTTGACTCAAAAGCTTCAATTGTTGCAATTCGAACAATTGAATGGACATTGATTTATGTTAAACTTGCAGAAACCACTTGGAGAAATTGTTAATGGAGCTTTGGTAGGAAAAGTTGCTGCGGCAACAAAAGCAGCAGTTCAGAACAAGGAATCCGACAAGCCGAAAACTGAAAAAGTATTTATTATAAGTCCTGATGAAGAACCCAAGTCCAAAGATGAAAATCCCATCAGTGAAAGAAAATCAAGAGCAGGGTCATCAAGAAAGGCTCTCACATCAGTCCTCACTGCTCGAAGCAAGGTTACTTAAGCTTACAATCAATGCCAGTTTTTGTTTTCTTTCAGATTATCTTGTTTCTTGAAATATTTATTAGCTCTTTAATTCTTCATCTTTATGATCAGGCTGCTTGTGGACTCACTAACAAACCGAAGGAGGACCCCACCGTAAACATTGATGCAGCAGATGTTGATGATGAATTGGCAGTTGCGGAGTATGTTGAGGATATCTACAAGTACTACAAACTCACAGAGGTGATGATCCCTCTCTCTCTCTCTCTCTCTCCCCATAACTCTATAGTGTGTGGCCCTCATAAATTGAAATTGTTGATGCGCAGGATGAGGGTCGAGTTCATGACTACTTGGATTCACAACCAGACATTAACTCCAAAATGAGGACAATCCTTGTAGACTGGTTGATTGAAGTTCACAGAAAATTCGAACTAGTGCCTGAAAGTCTATATCTCACCCTTAATGTAGTGGATCGCTTCCTTTCCATGAAGACTATACCAAGGAGGGAACTTCAGTTGGTTGGCATCAGCTCAATGCTCATTGCATGCAAATATGAGGAGATATGGGCACCAGAGGTAGTATTCTCATTATATATTACTATTTCACTGCAGTTGGACTTGATCTAATTTTTTTGTGTATCTTTTCAGGTTAATGACTTTATTGCCATATCAGACAATGCTTATGTAAGGGAGCAGGTACTTCTCATGGAGAAAGCAATTCTGGGAAAGCTGGAATGGTACTTAACTGTTCCAACGCCATATGTGTTCCTCGTTCGATATATAAAGGCGTCTGATCCATCTGATCAGAAGGTAATAACAATGATGGACTTGAGAATGTTGTGTTCATCCTTCACCCCCCCCCCCCTTTTTATCGTTTTTAGAGAAAAATTCAAACCGATTGCTTATTTCTTTCTAAATGTAGATGGAGAATATGGTGTTCTTCTTGGCTGAACTTGGTCTGATGCACTATTCAACCATTATACTTTACTGCCCATCAATGCTTGCTGCTGCTGCTGTCTATGCTGCCCGTTGTACTCTCAACAAAACCCCTCTTTGGACCAAAACACTGAAGCACCACACAGGCTATTCCGAAGATCAGATAAGGTCTATTCTCTTTTCCATTCTAACTGCTGTATTGCTGTGTATGGAATAAACATGGGACTTATAGAAAATCAGTTTCAACCCACGTTTTCGTCTAATCGACGATGAAGTGAAAAATAAATAAGAACTAGTACTAGTAATTGTTCGAAACATGAGATTATGTTTGAAATTATCCTAAAGATGGTCAAAAATTCAATTTGTATCTGGGGTTGGTGCTTAGTAGTGTAATGGTTGAACTGACCTAGTCCTATGTTCATTATGCTCTAAAACTATGTTCATTCACTATGCACTAAAACTATTTCTCATTTTACAGGGATTGTGCTAAGCTCTTGGTTAGCTTTCACTCAGCTGCTTCAGAAAGCAAGCTCAAGGCAGTTTACCGTAAATTTTCAAATCCAGATAGAGGCTCTGTTGCTCTTTTTCCTCCAGCAAAAAGTCTTTTGGCTGCGGAAAACCACATTAGTAGTAGTAGTAGTGTTTAGTTGAGATCATGGTGTGTATATGATCTCTGCCTTTTGGCTACCTATTTTTTCATTTGAAAGACCTCTGATTTTGATTTGATTTACTACTAGTAAACTGCATTTGTCATTCATTTACCCTGCGTTGTTAACAGCATTTGTCTATTAAATTCCAAAGTTGTGTCCTTTTTTCATTATTTTGCTTCTTCATATGCCAATATAATAACAGCTTTTAAAGAACCATAGTCAACTTACAGACGCATAGTGACAATTCATTTACCCAGGTTTGAAACTTATTTCCCAAACTACTACCATTAGTTATGAGAAATCAAGATTTTCAAACACGCTTTTGAGGTTTTTCTAGTAAAAAGTGTCGTTTTAACCCATGCTTTAATAGAAACAACAGCTGTTTAGAAGTCCATTGTTCTAAAACAAAATGGCTAGGCCTATCTAATCTCCTTTCTCTATGACCAGAGAAGTCAGATTTCTTTATTTCGTTGTGTTGATTCATTGGAGAACATGGGAAGATCAGCACAAATTGTAATTGATATTGTTACATTATGATCGTGTGATGTGCAACAATTGGAACAGAGAAATTTTATTTCTGATTTGCGTAAGTGTTTGATATATTATGTCATGAACATTCTTAAACCAGAACATTTATTCACATTATATCTTCAAGTATTGGCCTATTGGTTTCAAATCGCCCCAATTATACATGTACGTTCCAAATTGGATGAAAAATAGNATTATGATCGTGTGATGTGCAACAATTGGAACAGAGAAATTTTATTTCTGATTTGCATAAGTGTTTGATATATTATGTCATGAACATTCTTAAACCAGAACATTTATTCACATTATATCTTCAAGTATTGGCTTATTGGTTTCAAATCGCCCCAATTATACATGTACGTTCCAAATTGGATGAAAAATAGTTTCACTTTCATCATTTTGAGTCATGTGATATTGTATCACCTTGCCCAACTGCATTAGGCTCTGTGACAATATGAATTCAAGCACTTGAATCAATGTCAAAATTATAAAGGTATGTTTGTTTCGAGTATAAGATTTAGGTGGTATAAGATTTTATATTCATTCCACTCCAATCCAATAGTATATTATATCCNAAATAGTTTCACTTTCATCATTTTGAGTCATGTGATATTGTATCACCTTGCCCAACTGCATTAGGCTCTGTGACAATATGAATTCAAGCACTTGAATCAATGTCAAAATTCTAAAGGTATGTTTGTTTCGAGTATAAGATTTAGGTGGTATAAGATTTTATATTCATTTCACTCCAATCCAATAGTATATTATATCCGGTCTTAAACTATAATCTCATTATTCCCCTTGTTTGTTTGTCAACTTAAAAAAGTCAACAATTGCGACTATGACCCATAAAAAGACAATTGTACATGAGGGCAATTGAGTCTTTTTACTCTATTATACCTCCATCTTATTTGTATCAGGCATCTACAAAGCATTATGACTACTGATTATAGCGGGTCGGTATTACGACGCAAAAAATAATACTGACTATAAAATGCTAAACAAACAAAATATAAGATGAGTTCCACGTACTATTTCTCTAATAACACTTNTTAAAAAAGTCAACAATTGCGACTATGACCCATAAAAAGACAATTGTACATGAGGGTAATTGAGTCTTTTTACTCTATTATACCTCCATCTTATTTGTATCAGGCATCTACAAGGCAATTATAACTCCTGTTCATAGCGGGTCGGTATTACGACGCTAAAAATAATACTGACTATAAAATGTTAAACAAACAAAATATAAGATGGGTTCCACACGTACTATTTCTCTAATAGCACCTCCTTATACCACCCTAATCCTTGAAACAAACTAGCCTAATAGTAGAAGGGCTGAAGTTCTGAGCAAATGAGGAATGTCACTCGGTTTTTAAAGACCAGAGGGAGTGTTGTTTCTTTGTTGTCTTCTCGTTGAAATTAATTCATTTTCTTCTAGTTGAAGCACTGGAAAAAGGAAACATCTAAAAAAGGAAAGAAAAGGGCTACAAGCACATAATTAGTCTGAAGTAGAATTACATTATTGTCAGTTTCCAACGAGTGAAAGGGAGCAACAATATGCTTAAAATCATTCTTTGTGGGTGCAAGAATCCACTGCCCCCTCATCCACCTTTTCCTTCCTCCCACAGCAACCCTTTCTATCACGTGCTTCCACCTTAACTTTACTCCCACCGCAAGCCCGACCATTCTCCTGCACATCCTTCCCAAGTTCCAGCCGCCTCTCAAGAAACTCCGAGTTCTCTTTCCAAACCTCACCATTTGAGTAAACTTCCTTCTTCCAAATTGGAACTGTTGCCTTGATCTCATCGATCAGAAACTTACAAGCATCCAATGAATCGGCCCTATGAACAGACGAGACTGCAATGAAGACACTCGTTTCCCCTACTGGAACTGGGCCCAACCTGTGGGCAACCGCAATGGAGTTCAGAATCCATGATGATCGAGCAGAAGAGCAAATGGATTTGAGGCAGCGAATCGCCATTGGCACATATGCTTCATATCTGAGCTCCAAAACAGTCTTGCCTTCAAACATGTCGCGTGTCGTGCCAGAAAAAGTTGATATAGCACCGCATTGTGGGGCATGGACGTAATTGATGTATTTGCTGATGTCAATAGGGTAACTCTCCTCTAAGATTTCGATCAAGTTTTTCCCTTCGTCAGCCATTCTTCTGGGATCTTGTGTGTCTTCAATCTGTTACAAAGAGGGTGGCATAATAACCTTTGCTCTCTGATCCGATCTTGGGGATTAGCATAGGCTTAATTGAATCATCAGGAGTTCAGATTGCCATGACAGCCATTTTGTTGTATGGGAGGATCATGCACCTTCTGTCAATATTATAAACTCGAAAGGTCAGTGACATATGGCATGAAGGAAAAGAAAAAAGNTATGGGAGGATCATGCACCTTCTGTCAATATTATAAACTCGAAAGGTCAGTGACATATGGCATGAAGGAAAAGAAAAAAGAACAAGTGCATTGAAATGTCACAATCAAAGATTGTTTGAACTTCATGATGGAAGTAGGCAGACTAAGGCTAGACTAGCAAAGAATTCATTGTCATGCAATTGATCAAGTAGCCAATAAGAAGATTATTAAAGCACAAGGGAGAAATAATCAAGACCTACCTATAGGGACCATCAACTAGATTGAATGTTCCAAAAGTTGGTTATATTTATTGAGTTCTAACTTATATTAAATTTTCAAAGACATTAAATTCAGGATAATATCTTTAACTAGTATTTTTTTTTCTTTGTACAATAAATGAGATTTCAAGGGGTCTGGGGAAATTGTAGCACAACCCCTGCACAGTAGATCTACTTTATGGAATGCTTTTTATGGGGCTCCTGAACTTGGTCATTACAACTTACGGGGAGGATTTTTGTGTCATTAAGAATTTGGTCAAACCAAGCAAATAATCTAAGCTCTTGCATATGATCAAGACTATTTATGGACAAACCCACATGACTCTTGGTACTTTTATTTGCAAAATATAGATCCAACACATCCAGGAGAGCGAAACAGCGTATCATTCTTTTCAGTGACATCCTTAATTTCTAATGTTTTGGGTGTTTTTGTTATAAGTTTTCTATTACTCCTTTATTTGGTTTGCATTAACCGAATCTGTGTTAATTTGGAAAGTCTTGGCCTAAAGAAGTTCTCAACTTGGTTGGTTTATAAATTGTGCTAGCTTTGCTTCCATCACATAAGCATATGTAGAGACAGTTAAATGAAGTTCATGAATAAAGTTTTCCCAGCATATTTATTCTTTCTTTAAACCCTAGCCCACCATATTTGATTGCAGAACAGCCTTGATTGCCTTGATTGAGGATCTGTCCTTTATCATGTATTTTCTGCTATGTAGGGTGACCTCGCAAGGTTGCATCACTGAGTCAACTCAAAGCTGTTATTTATACTATAATTTCTTGTTATGTATATTATGCTGCAAACTAAATCTAATTTACATGAAAATATATCTCTCAGCACATAGAGGTAGACCTGCAAACAAATATGCTAAAAAAAAAACTTGTTCTCTGCATCTAATGTTCTAAATTATGCAATATATTGGAGGCCCCTCACCCAAAAAAAAAAAAACTCCAAGAAAAACTTCACCATGTCATGCTTAACTTTGTGTATCCTACGGCAATACAAGACTACCCTTATCCGAATTGTGACAATGAAAAGTAATTCCTCATGATTCTATAACTAAATAAACTTTAATTAATTACTGAAGCCAAAAACAACATAGGTGACTGATTTTAACTACACTTACCGAAGTGAGCACGCCCATATTCTATGTTTTCAACTCACAATGTGAAAAAGTACATACTCAAATAATTTGCAGCAAGCTCGTGTATCTAAAGCTCTGATACCTAAAAGCTAGGAAGAGGAACAGAATGTGGAAGAAAGAAGATCACAACTACTGAGCAGATGCAGGTGTGGACATGGGCAAGTGGGTGTGCTTTTGCGAAGGGTTGCATCGATCTCTCTTCATCAACTCTGCCAACAAAAATTTGGGGAATTGGGAGGTCTTGGGGAGAGCATCTGTAGGATATTGGACCTTTATTCACTTCGTTAATTTGATGCACTGATGAAAAGTGTAGGGAATTTGAGATGCTTAGTTTACATGTTATTCTTTTCAATAAATAAATTAAAGCCTCTGGAACTGTACCTTCGCAATTAAATCAACATTGAATGATAAAATTGAACCAAAAGTAAAATGTGAAACTAATTAAAAAATGGTAAATGCTATAGGAACCTTATTTAGAGACCTAATGATGCGGCTTCTATGCAATCAATGAATTAGTTGTGAGTTCCAATATTAGATAGAGCCAACAACCAATCCAATAATTGTATATTATTAGATCCCTCAATAAGATTAAGGTCCAAATAGTATTTCCCTTCAAAAATAGTTGTTGCTACCCACTCTTCATTTAATATTCAATTACTCAAACAAAGGTAAAAGCCCCTGGTTGTAATATGGACTGTAGGGATAATCCTTGCTAGAGAGAGAGAGATCTCATATCTCATAACAGATTAAACCGACTAAACAATTAAAAGCCAGGTACAGCCACAAACATATCTCCTAAAGCAACATGGTAAATCAACAATCCAACAAACACCTGTCAAACAATTCATAAAAGCAGCCAGCATCCTAACATGAATCAAACAAATGGTAAATAAAGCGTCCAACCAACACCTTATTGCTTGACTGCACCAAACATTCCTCTCAAATACTAGTTTCAAGTATTAGGGCTAATTACACCAAAAGAAGGAAGCATATTTCTTCACTACAGAAGTAAAAAAGGGAAAAAAATAAAAACAGATAGAAATCAGAGGAGATAGAATCTGAGAGAAAGAGAAGCCAGAGACGAAGAAAAAATGTATAGACGAAGAAGGTAAGAGCCGAAGAAGCAGAAGAAGAAAAGAATCAGAAGAGGGAAAGTACCTGGTCGGCCGATCATCTTCTCAAACTTGATTTCTCTGTCAGGGAGCAACAGATAATCACTTCTGATTTGGGACTATTACACAACACACAAATGAAGTGGGCCGGATATATGATCATTTTTTGGGGGGCAAACTTTATGTCACCTCGAATCTATTTGGTTGTTGGGGTCATCTTAATATTTTATTTAAATATTTAAAAAATAATAATTTTAACTTCAAAAATCTATAATTTTAAGTATTAATATTTTACAGTATCGAAAAATTAGTTTAGAATTTTATTGATTATTTTGATCTGTCCGTTTATATTTGGAATGACATGTGATGATACTAATTTATAAGTTTGGAGGCTAGTCTCTTTTTGTAGATTTATTTAGATTTAAGTCCACTCAAAAAATCTATTTCAGGATAAATTTATTTTGATTTTCATTGTCTAAAATGCCCTATATTCAATCAAAATTTGTGTTGAAAAAATTAACAACTCTTAAATTGGGAATTGTATTAGTATTAACAACTCCTAACTTTAGAATTGTGTTAGCATTAAAATTATTTTTCTATCATATCTATCTATACATATACTCAACAAAAAAAATAATAAAATTAAACAATAGCATGCTCAATAAAAAACTTAATTAAGAATTTAATCATTACAATAGAGTGACATCATACAGTGAATACTTATTTTATTGTGGGCAAGACAATAAGTACTCACATATGGTGTCACTCGATTATAATGATTAAATTTTTGATTGAGCATGTTATTGTATGATGTTACTATTTTTTTGTTGAGCATGTTACTGTTGGATGTAAATATTTTTTTTGTTAGGCATGTTACTATATATATACTAGTTATTGTTTGTGTCTGAAGGCACAGAGCAGTAAAAATGGTAAATAATAAACATATTTATATTTATATCCAAAATTAAATCACAAACATAGAGAAAAGATAAAGAAATTTAAGCGACAATTTATAGTGAAGTGAGAGATAGTAGGCGGCAGTAATGGTGGTAGGAGACGGTGATAGTTGTAGTAGGTGACAATGACCGTGGTGGTGACAACGAGGGCGGCGGCGATGGTGGTGGTGGTAACGGAGACGACGATGGTGGTGGTGGCAACAACAGCGGTGGGGGCGGTGGTGGTGGCTGCGGCGGTGATGGTGGCGACGGCGGTGATGGTGG